CTCAGTGGTAGAGCCCCTGCCTAGAATCCCCCAGTGAGGGGCTGGGGCGTGGCTCAGTGGTAGAGCCCCTGCCTAGAATTCCCCAGTGAGGGGCTGGGTGTGGCTCAGTGGTAGAGCCCTGCCTAGAACCCTCCAGTGAGGGGCTGGGGTGTGGCTCAGTGATAGAAAGCTTTTCTAGTGTTCACAAAGTTCTAGGTTCATTCCTCAACAATGAAACTACCTACATTATTTTCATTATTATTCCTTTGTGAGTTTGGAACCCAGAGCTAAATGTCCTTCACCACGAAACCTGGCTACAGAAACTGTTACTATCTCCTGGTGATTGTGGTTTCTTTCCGGCTGTAAATGAAGGAGACTGCTGGCTTGAGATGGTGCCTAGAGATGCCCAGAGGAATGTGTGGCTTGGTCGTGGGGTCACCTGAGCTTCCCTGTACTAAGGATACAGAATAGCTTGACCTAGAAACTTTAGAGGTCTTTCTCTCTCTCTTTCTCCCTCTACCCCTCCTGCTGGCCTAATTAAGCGTCCATCCCTCACACAGAACCCGGTTCTCCACCGCCTCGGCTGGCATCCCTGGCTTTCTGGGACCTGGTAATTGGCTGTGCCTCTTATCCCTTGGCTCCAGGTAGAAGAGGCCATTTTGTCTAGCTATCCAGAATTTTCAACCCAGCATAGCACAGACTGTGAGCTTCACACCTCGGAACCATTCTCTCTGGCCAGTGATGACATCATTTGGAGGCACCAACAGACCCAAGGGAAAGACTACACTTCCTACAGTCCCTTGCAACCAGGAAGATGGTTGTCATTTGCCCCTTGAGGTGACTGAGAAGCTGGGATCCCTAAGCTAAGCAGGATAGAGGGCTCTGTCACTCAACAGTGGACCTCTGGGTACTTAAAAAAATGCGGGAGACACAATATCAAGGGATAAAGAGACTAAAGCTCTATCCCTTTTAAAAATTGTTTTGAGATGTGGTCTCATGTAAGCCAGGCAGGCTGGTCTTGAACTTGGTTGCCTATACCTTGAATTTTGAATTCCTGATCCTACAGCCTCCACCTCTGCCTGCATTACAAGCAGCACCGTGTTCGGCTGCGTTCTCGATGTAATGGATGAGCTCCAGAAGGTGTTGGAAAACAGCGTTCTTTCTCGGAGGAGAAGTAACCCTGCCTTAGGCTAGGGTGACACCAGGTGTTACCGAGTAGGAGGGGCTTTCCCTGCTCCACACTTCCTGGCTGTTTGTGCCCCAGAGAGGTCCGGTCCTTAGCTCCTTGGGGCGCAGTACACAACTCCTTGTGAGCTGCGCTCCTGCAAAGGCGCCAAGCCCTGTCCCGGAGCAAAGAGGGAGTGGATCAAGCATCCCTAGGTGCGCATGCGCTCGGCCTGGGCATGCTCTGGGCTGGGAACCACAGCAAGGAACACTAACTGCCCTTGCCACGGCTGGTGGCGGTGGAAGGAGAGGCTGACAACCACGTGCGTTCACAGGACGTTTATGGACTGGGCAGCTCTCCCACAGCTGGGCGCTAAGTCTAGATGGACGCAGGAAGCATCCGTGCTTCAGGTGAGCGGTCCTGGGCTCAGGGGCGGAAGCGGGGAGATGCCGCGAAAGCTGGTCTCAGCCGCCTGCGCTGCTGCCGCCGCCGCCGCCTCCTCTACTCCAGAACTGTGCAGGAGGACGGGGCGGGGACAAGGAGGTTGTCAGTCAGCAAGAGGACCCGCCCACGGCCCCGCCCACGGCGCCTCCCGGGGCCCCACCCGCCCCGCTCAGCTTGTGTCATGGTCTGGGGTCTGGTGCTGCGTGAAGGTAGTCTGGTCCTCCAGCTGGACTGTGACCAAGGAGGCTGGAAAGCAATCCCCGGGAGCACGGACTCAGTCAGGAGTGCGCCTGCGCGAACCCAGGCAGCTGGTGGCTGGGTCCGGACTGCTCCTGGCTCTGGAAGTTTGACTTCTGAGTGTCTAGTCTGGTGCGACAGGCAAGACTCCAGACTCACTCTCCTGGGAGCACCTGTCCGGTGCACCTGGCCTAGCAACATGACGGTCTTGAAGATCTCTGGGAACTCCTAGTCTGATGGAGGAGGCATGGCCTTTGGCTACTTTAAGAGCATGGTCCCTGAAGGGGAGCTCCTAGTCTGATGGAGGAGGCAGAATCCCTGTCTCTAACGTAGGAGACATGGCCCCAACTCTGGGAGCCCCAGTCTGATGGAGGAGACACGGTTTTCAGCCTGATGAAAGACGCAGGGTTCTCTCCCGTGGGAGCCGCCCGCTTGAGGCGGGAAGAGGCGGCTCTCAACGGAAAACCCTGTCTGATGGAGGAGACACACCTAGCGGCCTGCGCTCTAGCGCGCATCCAGTGAGGAGAGCTCTGGTGTCTGAAAGGGGAACCTTCCTGCTCCCATGCCGTGTCTCACGGGGAGGGAAACAGCTGCCTTCGCCGCAGCTGCCCGTGTGGAAGAGGCTGGGTCCCTGCGGTTTCCACTCACCTGAGGAGGAAGGCGCCCGCCCTCACGCGGCACCCCTCTCTCTGTCTATCTCCACAGGATGGATACCTTACATGAGCAAGGACGCCTCGGGCCGGTGGAAACCCCTCTACCCTTGGGGGACGCCATCGTTTGAGAGGCGAGGCGAGTGCCCACACGGGGACACTCGGGTCACACTCGGGTCAGATGCGAGAGGCGCATGCCCGTGTCCCACAGGCACAGGAGGGAGGAGAGGGCCGCTTCGGGAGTCCCCCGCCCCCCACGCTCACTCACGGGCCACCTGTAGCTCCACCTCCAGCGTGTCCGTCTTGCCCTGCAGTGTGACGGTCTTGAGCGTGTAGCGTCCGGCATCCGTGAGGTTCAGCTTCTGCACCAGCAGAGAGCAGTTGGCGAAGCCCACCTCCCGGCCCGTGTGTGCGGGGCCCGCAATCCAGTTCCCCGACGGCAGCTGGCTGAGTAGCCGGTTGGGCTCCGAGGCGGGTCCGCGGTACCAGGCGTAGACCAGCAAGTCCTTGGGGTAGCCCTGGACAGTCAGGGTCACGTCCTGGCCCTCCATTGGCTTAGTCGGTACGGGAACAATCATCATGGCTACAGCTGCAGCTGGGGAGAGAGCCGCCACCGCGGTCAGCCAGGGCTGCCCCGGGGCGGTGTGGAGTCCTCCCCCTCCCTTGGCCAGCTCCCCCACGATGGTGCTCCCCATGAGGTGCTGAGGAGGAGACAGAGGGTGGGGGTGAGTTCTGGGGTGATCACACTGACTCTTTCTCAGGGGTGCGTCTCCCCTGTCTAGATCTTAGCCTTGGATGATGGTGCAGGGTGTCCCTCCTATGAAACTGGAAGACCCCGGAGGGCCTGGCCATGTCTCCTCCATCAGGGTGGAAAAGTCCAGACTCTAGGGGCCATGCCTCCACCATCAGACTGGAAATCCTAGAATATGGAGTGGTGCCTCCTCCATCAGATGGTTGGAATGTCTCCTCCCACACTGTGTCTTTTCTGTGAGAGCGACAGACCCAAGAATATGGCGTTGACAAATCCCCCATCAAACTGGAAGAGTGCATCACATGAAAAATTCTCACAAGGTGTGGGCCGTGTCTCCTCCATCAGATTGGGAAATTCTAGATTTTCAGTCAAGTTTGGGAGCCTAGAAGCTGGAAAGACTATTCCACTGGTTTCAGATTCTCTACAAGGTGGGAGCCTCCGTCTCCTCCATCAGACTGAGAAACTGGATTACTGGAGTTGAAAATTCGGTCAAGATGCAGACTCCCAAGTTGGGAATAACTATCTCTCTTCTATCAGGAAATTTCCATAGAAAATGGAAGGCTTGTACTTCCCCTCAGATTTGGAGTATTCCCAAAGCGGGACCCACGTCTCCGCCACCAGTGCCTGGAGCCCAGACAAGCTGAGGCACTGCCTCTTCTCTTTGACTGGCAGTTCCTCTGCTTCCTTCACCCCTTTGAGGCCAGAGAAAGACCATGCCTCCTCCATCAGATCAGCTTGTTTCCCAGGTTGGGTGGCAACCATGTCTTGTTGTTCTGTCTCAATCCCAGCACCTGCCTCAGGATTTCTGGCGGCTTGGGGGTTAGGAGTTTTGGGGTGTTGCGTTAGGTACACCCTGCACATACCTGCAGACCTGGGACAACACCCATGTTGGCCCTGAGATCATCTGGTCCACCCTGTCTCCAGCCAAGATCCCTCACAGGTAAGACAGGAGGCACACTTACCTTTGGGACAGCCATCTTTGCTCTGCGTGAAAGAGGGTCCGTCCCCACCCTTTGCATGAGACCCAGCCTGTTAGTGGAGGAAGAAGGGAGGGAGGAGGGGGAGGACGATTCCCACTGTCCCCAAGGGACAATGGCCGCTTGAGAAGAAACCCAGGTAGAGTTAATGAGGCTTTTTGTTGTCGCTGGTTTGTTTTGAGACAGGTCTCATGTAGCATAGGCTGATCCTGAGCTGTCTGTGTAGCCGAGATGGCCTTGAACCCCTGACGGCCTAGAGCTCCTGCCTCACCTCTCAAATGCTGTGATTACAGGTGAGCCCTTCCACACCTGCTGTACTATGAGGACGCTATGTTCAAAGCCGCCATCCTTGGCGCATGAGCACTGTCTCTAAGGTGCCCACCCCCACCCCCACCTCCAGAATGAGACGTGAAGGGGGTGCCTCTCCATGCTGCCCCTGCATGCTCGTGTGTGTGTGTGTGTGCTCATGCGTGGTACCTACACATGGACACTCTGCCCCGTCCCGTCCAGACTAAGAGGTTCAGGCCTGTGTGTCCTGAGTTGGGCAGGGCTCTCAGCAGCTGGTGCCTTTCTACTAACCAGGGTAACTACATGAAAGGACATGGACCCCGGTGCCCCACTCTGCCACCCCACAGGAGGGGCCTAACCTCAGGGCACCTAGGCAAGAGGGGGACACTCTGATATGCCACCTTGTCACAGCTGGCCGATGAACGAACGAACGTGCTGGGAATCCACTTATCTTCTGGGAAAGTGGCGGCCCAGTCAGCAAGGGCCAGCTGGGCCTCTGTGGAGAGCAGGCGGCCATCAGGGTGGGGCTGACTCACCAGACAGCTTGACCACCACTGAGGCAGAGCCGGACAGCAGAGTCTTGGCGTTCTTAGCGATGCAGGTGTATGTGCCCTCATGGGCCCCAGTCATGCTGCTGATGTTCAGGTGGTCCTGACCGTTCTGCAAGGCCTTCCCATTGAGGGCCCACACATACTCTGGCTCAGGGCAGGACCGGGACACACACCACAGGATGAGGGATGTGTTGAAGTCCACTTTAATAGTGCAGCCCGTACGCGTGGTAGAATCTTGGAGGATAGCCACTCTTTCTGGGCCAACTGCAGGGCAGGAGGGAGAGAGGCAGGAAGGCCAGGGCTGGGGGGCGGGGAGGACAGAGGCATGCACCCCAGGTTTCCTGTCCCTGGGCTTGGCAGGGCTGAGAACTGGGAGAAAAGACCTTGAGCCTTTCCTAATCACACCTTGATTTCTAATACTCTCAATCTTGAGGCTCACTTCCCCTCCCACAAGAACTTGGTTTTGTTGTTTTGGGTTTTGTTTGCTTGTTTGTTTGTTTGTTTGTGTGTGTGTGTGTGTGAAAAACAGTGTGTGAAGTTGCCTTTATTCCCAGCCAGTACTCTGGAGGCAGAGGCAGGCAGATCTCTGAGTTTTGAGGCCAGCCTGGTCTACAGAGCGAGTTCCAGGACAGCCAGGGCTACACGGAAAAACCTTGTCTTGAAAAATAACAACAGGAACCAAAAGAAAAAAGAAGATGAAGCTATGCTCCTAGGATTCTCAGGCTCTGTAAATCTGTGTGTCTAAGATTCCAGATTCTGAGGTGGGAAATGGAGCCTAGGATTCTGTTTCAGCTGGTGTACTTGTAGGCCTTGTCTTAGCCTAGCTCCGGATCCTTGCCTCTGGCTCAGAACTTTCCAGAGCCTGGAGTCCTCTGGCTGCAGGATTCTAGGGCTTTAACTTTTGTACACCAGCCCGATTTTTTTTTTTTTTTTTTTTTTTTCCCCACACAGAGCCTCATTCGTTGGCCCTGACTGGTCTTGAACTCACAGCGATCTTCTGCCTCCGCCTCCTGGATTAAAGGGGCGCCCCACCGTGGCCTTGGCGCCCCAGTCATTGCTTAGTGCCGGGGTCATGGAGAACCCTAACGTGAGCCGCTCTGTGGTGCTGCGGATGGAGCTTGGACAAGCGTCCGGGGCTGGCCTCACCTCCTCCCCACCTCTGGCCGCCTGGGGTGACAGACCTAGGAGTCCCACATCCACCGGACATTAGCAGCCGCACTCCGCACCACCTCATACAATGACCAGTCAAGGATGCTGGCTGCGTGACTGTGTAAGCCTTGGCCTCAGGTCCCCCACCTGTGAGATGCGAGGTGCCTGGGAACACTCACAGTATACGGTCAAGTTCAGGGGCTCGCTGCGGCTGACGCTGACGGGGTTCCACACCTCGCACTGGTAGGCGCCTGCCTCCTCCCTGCGGACGCCGTGCCGGGTCAGCACCCTGCCGTCGGGGGACAGGCCCAGGCGGACGGCAACCGGCAGCGCGTCCCCATTGAAGAACCAGCGCACCTCCGCGGGGCTGGGGCTGCTGCACACGAGGCGAAGGGTGTCCCTCCGCTCTACCAGCGCCGTGCCGTTGGCCACGACCGTGGGAGGGGCCAGGATCTCTGTGTGGGGAGCGGAAGACAGAGGGGGAGGGGAGGGGCACCTCCTGTCCCCGGGGCAAGAAGCACCACCAAGCTGTGCCTCTGCACCCCCAGCCATAGTGACAAAGAATGGCTTTAGAAGACAGATGCCGTCTCGGAAGCCGGAATGGAGAAGGTGAGCATTTCAGTGTCATTTTAGGCACCCCCACACCCTATTTTAGAAGCATTCTTAGGGGCTGGCAAGACGGCTCAGTGGGTAAAAGCTCTTGTCACCAAACCTGTTGACCAGAGTTCGATCCCTGGGTTCTACACCGTGGAATTAAAAGCACTGACTCACCAAAGCTGTTTTCTGCGTTCCACACGTATGCTTGTGTCATATATGCGCGCACACATGCTTCACACACACACACACACACACACACACACACACACACACACACACAC